ATCGAAATTTCCAGAACGCAAGCGAGCGAACCATAGTTGTGCTACGCGAACTGATACGAGTACAGCATCACTTCCGTAAACTTCACAAATTTTATTACGAAAATTTCAAAATATAGTGAATTTCTTCATTATTTTCACTAATTTTTGAACAGCTGTAACTTTTTTTCAACTTCCTTGAATTTAATTTTGTTATTGAAGCTTAAAATCTTCCCCTTTTTAAAAATGTATGATATGACACAATGTGAGCACTGGAGATATACGACTGCAACGACATCTATTGACAAAATACGAAAAGACTTTTTCGACTACCCAATAAAATGTGTTTTGTAATAATTTACATAATTTATTACAATTTCACAATTTAATCCCTCTAAAAAAGCTAAATCAATATATTTAATCGCTGCTTTCTACATTTATCAATTAAAACTATAAAAAAAAACATGATATATTGTAAAATGCACGCTTTTTTTGCAATAATGAAAACAATTTGTCGCTGGCCGCAAAACATCAAAACATTCTCTACCGCATGAAATCATAATTTATCAACCTTTTGCCCCATTTAAATACTGTATACAAATAAATATTCACATGTATGTGTGTATATGCAAAATCCTAAGTGATAAGCATTAAATTGTTATAAAATGCTTTGACTTACATACAGACGCTCATACAATGAAACTAAGCTTACATACACATAAACATMTATACATACTTATATGTTGAAATATATACATATATACAACGGAAAAAATACAAAAGAAAACAAATAATGCCGTACTTAGATTAGAGCTCCAGCTCCATCCATAGTTGATTGAATTTTCTTTCGCCTCTCATTAGAACTGATTAAATTGTTGTATAAACTAATCATTTGTTGAAAAAAACAAAACCAAATAAAACAATATTGAATACTTTTACGCCGCAAATTTAGCTGTTTATGCAAATAGTTRGTTCAACTTAATTATTTAATATTATTACATGATTAAAAGCAATGTTTGTTGGTAGCTTTAAGCCAACAATTTTCTATTCATAAAACGACGACAAGTCTGGCTGATAACTTGTATAAAAAATATTTTTAATGCCATGTGTTTACAACTTAAGGAATTTCAAATTATTTTCAATTTTAAATTTTCTCATAAACATAATTGAAAAACATATAAAGGTTGATGCATTTCCAGGTTCCCCACTTTTTTTTTATAAGAAAAATTACAGAAACCTCAAATTTAATGGATAATGTTTATTATCACTCGAAAGAACATTTTTTGAAGATTATCTCTTTCAAGTGTTGGTTGCGGCTACGTCTCAGTTGGCCCATCCGTTGAGTCCAATTTTCGATGACTTCTTCGAGCATTTCGATTGGTAATTGGCGAATGACATGCGTGATGTTTTGTTCCAAGGCCTGAATTGAAGCGAAATTGTCCTCACAGGTTTCGGATTTTACACATCCCCACAGGAAAAAGTTTAAGGGTGTAATATCACACGATCTTGGTGGCTAATGGACCGGCCCAAAACGTGAAATTATCTGCTCACTGAAGTGTTCTCTCAATAAATCCATTGATTAATGGGGTGTGTGGAAAGTTGCGCCGTCTTGTTGAAACAAAATGTCGCCAAGATCACGAGCTTAAATTTTAGCCATCAAATACTTGGTTGTCATGTCGCAATACTGCGATACACAAAAAACATTTTTTTCTGTATGAAATGGCAGCTCTTGAATTTCTTCAGGTTGTTCTTCGTCCCAAATATGGCAATTTTGAGGGTTTACATCTGAAGATCGGTGATGGTTTTGTCAATAGTCCGCTCAGTAGCACCACTATGTTGACCATAAGTTGAGCGAAGCGCGCAAAACAAATTCTTTACAGAACGTGAAATTTCGTAACAAAGTTGATCAATTTGTAAACGTTGTTCAAACGTCAAGTTTTCCAGGATGAAATGTCAAGCAATACCGAACAAAAATAACATGACAGCTTGACATGGCTCACACGTGATCAGTCAAAAAAGAGCGATTGAAAAAAGTACCTCAACTTGGATCACTCGTTAGTAAGCTCTTTGTTGGCTAGACTCTCATTGGTAGGGATTCTAACAGGTCATTGCCTTATCGGCGTCCATGCTCCATGAAGCGCTTTTTTTTTTTTTTTTTTTTTTTTTTGATTGTTGTTTTTTTTTTTTTTTTTTTTTTTTTGCTTTTTATTCATTTGGGAAACACAAGTTTTGTGGGAACAAAAATTAAACGCCTGTGCAAATTTGTATTGATCGCTAGGCGCTTGCTCACTTATAAGATCGAACACAGGACTTATGTATATTTTTCTATGGCAAGGAGTGCGTTAATTGTGTGTACCTTACATAAAAAAAATTTTGTATCGATTGTTTTAAAATTTAAACGATCTTAAACGGAAACGATAACTTTAAGAAAATACAGCAAACATTTTGAAGGAAAAAATATATTTTTTTAGTTACACGCGATCTCTGAAGGCTCTAAAAAACACTAGTCCTCCACTGATGATTTAAAGGCATATTTATGGATATATATTTTTTAGTTAGTTTTTATCCCTCTTTATCACAGCTAAAATAACTTGATTTTTCCGGAAATCGATGACAAATTGGATAGAAAATCATAAAATCAAGAATAGAATTTGCCAAAAGTTCATTGACCCAATTTAGCAAAAATTAAAGATATAAAAGAAAGAAAAAAACAAAGAGAAACCAAAATGCATTTTAACGCTGGGAACTGGAGCACCATTTGTGTGGTCATAAAATTAAAATAATACAAAAACAAAAAAAGTGATGATGCAACGCTGCTTTGTAATATCTAAATTGCGTATTTGAAACACTTTGTTCGTGTGTGAGTAAAAATAAGTTTAAAGAGATGCAAAAAAAAACTGCTAACTCAAACTAAAAAAAAAAAACCAAAATGTACAAATTTACGAGGAAGCCACAATTATGCAGTGACTTTTTCAAAGAAACGTATGCTAAGAATTTTTTCCATTGTTTGAAACAACACTTTCTTCATGTCAAATCTCTTCTGKTACTGTGAATGAATTCAAAATGCTTGCTACCTTTTTCATACAAAACGTCTAATGCTTTAACTATCACTAAGGTGTTTGGTGTACTGTTATGTATCCATATTTTATTCAGGGTTATTACATTACATTAAAAGCTTCTTCACAGGTCTTATACGGTACTCAACTTCTATTTTGAACGATTTTATAAAACTAGTTTTGMAGACTTCAGTTACAACCACATCATGCAATTCCTATAACTGATAATCGCTGATCCAAGATATTGTCAAATCGAACAAACATCTCTAATAAAAGCTTAGTCTTACGAGTAAAGCCTAGTTATAGAGAGCCTTGGAAAACAAAAACTCGCTAGTTTTATTGCTGCTCGAAAATTACATTTTCTGATAAAAGGATGAATACAATGATGAACAAAGCGCTCGATAAATGGCGAATCAAAGGCGAAAGTATATGAGTTTATGTGTGCTTTAACGATAGTTAGTTTTCTTTATTAGTTTTGTGTTCAATCTAAGATTTGTTGATAACACCACGGGTGATCCAAGTAGAGGTACTTTTTTCTAATAGCCTTTTTTGACAGATCACGCGCGAATCGTACCAAGCTGTCATGTTACTTTTGCTCATTATTGTAAGGCAAGACACCTGAATAACGTTTACTAATCGTTCAACTTTATTACGAAGATTCACGTTCTGTAAAGAATGTGTTGCGCGTGCCTCGTTCAACTTATGGTCAACAAAATCCGCCTACTGAGCGCACTATTCGCAACATGATCACCCATCTTGAGACCAGACATTCATTATTGAATAATATTCGATCGAATAGATCACGTCCAGCAGGCAGTAAAGAAAATATAGCAGTCGTAGCTTAGGTTGTACACGAAGACCTTGGAGAGTCGAATAGGTGCCGTTTGCAGCATTTCGTACAGACTAATGGAACGACTTGGCGCATTTTACGTCGAGATCTAAAATTTAAACCATATATGTAAAATACAGCTTGTGCAAGAACTGAAGCCACTCGACCTTACCAAGCGGCATCGCTTCGCTCTGTGGCCTATTGAAAAGTTCCAAGAAGATCCGACGGTTTCGAGCCAAATTTTGTTCAACCATAAGACTCATTTCTGGTTCAATGAGTATGTAAGCAATCATAGTTGCCACATTTTTGATGAGGAGCAACCTGAAGATATTCACGAGCTGCCTCTTCATACAGAAAAACAACGGTTTGATATGGTTTGTGGGCCGGTGAAATAAAGGGTCTCTGGTCGGTTCTTCAAAAATGATGCCGGTAAGAACGTAACCTTCAATGGCGACCGTTATTGCGTCATATTAACSGACTATTTGATGCCTAAAATTGAAGTTCGTGGTCTCGGAGACATTTGGTTTGAACAAGACGACGCCATTTTCCACACATCGCATCAGTCAATGGATTTATTTAGAGAAYACTTCGGTGTGCAGATAATTTCCATGCTTTGGACCAGTGATTGGATACCAAGATCGTGTGATATCACATGGTTAGACTTTTTYCTGTGGGTATATGTAATGTCTAAAGAACACGGGCACAATTCCGCTTGGATTTAGGTCTTAGTGCAAAAAATCACGCGTGTCATTCACCAGTTACYAGTCGAAATGTTGGAACGAGTCATTGAAAATTGAACTCAAAGGATGGACCATGGGATGAATGTTCTTTCGAATGATAATAATCCATTACATGTGAAGTTTCTGTGTTTTTTCTCTAAAAAGTAGGGAAGATCGAAATGAATCACCTTTTACCTATTTTTCGTGCTTGATTTTTTTCATAGCTATAAAACTCATGCTAAGTCGAATAGTTTGCTTCAAATTAGTATGCTAGCATATAGCATTTGACAAGAGCAGAACTGACATTTCAAACTGCCCTCATACTTACATACATATATATTTGTAATATGCACATATTTTTGCATTACATAGAGAACAAAGACTATTATCCAACTACTGCAATTTTCTGAAATTTCAAATCATGTTGTAAGTTGTTTCCGACATACATATGTACGTACATATCTTTGATAAAATTTAATGTTTATAACATAATCCAATTTGCCTTTGGCTGCATAAATAATTTCGTTTTGAGGTTAATTCATTTATCCGTCATTAAAACATATTTTTTTAATGAAGGTTTACACATCACGAAAGCAAAATATGTATATTACTTTACATACATACATACATGTTACAAACAATATTTTATTGTTGAAATACTGGAATTTTAAGCAAAAAAACAAAAAAAAAAAGCATAGTTGAAATATTCCGCAAGGATTTTTGTTTATTTAATTTTGTATGCAAGTTCGAATGCAATGTGTAAAATTTTAAAGAAAACGTTCATTCAATACTTGCATGTGAAAGAAGTGCGTAATCTAAATATTTATAAAATGCTGGCCGTCACTGGTAATTTATTGCAGACAATAATTGCAGTTGCTCTAGTTATTGAGATTAACGAAAATGTAAGCAACTGTTTATTATTCTTGTATAAAACTGYTAAAATAAATTCTCCATTTGTGTATCAACTGATCAGCTTTGGTCTGCGTCTTATAAGCAAGGAACGTTAAAAAATCAGAATGCTTTTTTGAAAAAAAAAATTAAAATAAAAAAAAAAAATCCTTCAATTCTTTAAGAACTGCATCTCAAAACCTGTGTAAAATTTCATGAAGATCGCTCGAGTAGCTCTCGAAAAATCTTGCCAACCGACTTCAAAAACGCAGTTTCGATAAAAACGTCTTTAAAGACGGCGTACTTAGCGTAGCTAGCCTGGAGCGCACAAGATGTCATGGCCGTATCTCTGACACTATTACTCGGATCAATTTAAAAATTTAGCAAAGTATTCTAGAGATGTTGACGAAATTAATAACACAACAAAAAAAAAAATCAACTTTTTGCAACTCGTAAACCCAATCACCAAAACAGGTGATTATTGTCTATTTGGTGGGGTTTCGAAGGGATCGTTTATTTTGAGCTATTGTCTGACAATGGCACGATAGCTCGAATTGATCAATAGAAAAGGTGTAATGTTTCACTAGCTAAAAAAAGTCCAAGTTTGATGACAAGCCAAAGCTTTTGAAGTACTAATGGAACTAATGGAATATGCTACCACATCTAACATATTATTTAGACTAAGCACCTTTGGGCTATTGCTTGTTCAAGTCTCTGCAAAATTTTTTCGCTAGGTGAACCTTTACCTCAATTCAGGACGTCAACAAGCTCTTAGATCAGTTGTTTGCCTTCAGGGATGAAACATTTTATGAGCGTGGAWTCAAACTCTTGCCCAAAAGATGGCAAAGGGTATTAGATCAAAATGGAGAGTATATAATTTCATAACAGATTTTACACAATAAAAAATCGAATTTCGCTGTAAAAGGAAGCTACTTAGTGAACGATCCAATCGTAAGTCATCTAAGGYCATTCAGAGAAATTTATTGAAGGAACTAAATACTTGTATATTTCGGTCTAAGACTAACCATTTAACCTGGTAGACATTCATTTGAAGACGAAGGTTCGGTTAGTTCGCTGAAAGGGCGCTAATTTGATGACGGTCTCTTCAAATATACCACTCCTCCTACTGGAGCTATATATTAGCAAAATACATTAAGAAATTTTGTCTCCCTTTGATTTAACGGACTACGTAGAGGGACAAATCGAGCATACAATTGTTATAAATGCAAATCAAATTGATTGAATATCAAGCAGTTCCACCGCTTTGACTGACACAAATACTCTACACCTCTGTATTGCATAGRGAACAAGCAGAGCGAGCAGAATAGTGGCGAAACGAAGACGGCTAATAATAATTATTTTAAGTTTAAAGATTTCTTAAGCGAATGGTTCTAGATTTTTAATAATTATGCAAGCCAGGAAAACACCTCGAGTCATTAGAATGCTTTTCGGCTGCTATTTTTCAGAATACGTAGTCTGCTGAGAGTTTTAAAACCACGAAAAAATAGTCAAATATGTTACTTATAGATATTTGTTTCTGTATCGTCCTTAGTTCTAACTTTATTAGACACTTCAATGAACTGATCACATGGTTAATAYATATATTTATATACATACTTATATATCTATGCACTTAGCTATGCACTTAATTATCTTCACTGCACTTCACTTCAYTTCAAGTGAATTCCATTCAATTCAATTCGATTTCGAAAGGAAGTCAAATGCGTGTTTTTTTCATAATTAAGTGAAACTGCAAATTATAGCATCCGATAGCTGTTGAATTGCCACTGCAGCTGTTGCGTAGAGCACCAGCACATTTGTTGCACGCAATAATGCTGCAATGYTCTTGATTCGAATCGCCAACTAACCAAGACCATATTCAACCAATACCAATACCCACAATTATTCTCAATATCTACTAATGCATAATTGTTTCTTTTTTTGTTTTTGTTTTTCTTCTTTCCTTTGCAGGAGATCCACTGCACAAGCACTCAGCTTCAACTTTAAATACAGAATTCTTCCCTTGACGCGCACATCGCAAAATCTACAGCAATGCGTCGCCTAATTGCTGCAGTGTTTCTAAGTCTGGTCACCGTGAGCTTATTGTATACAGCGCAAGCCGAATTATCGTGAGTACAGATTTTTTTGCTAATTGGTATCTATTCTCTATTATGTATTAAAACCTTATCTCATCACGATCATATAGTGATTGTTACTTTGGAAGGGAGTACGTCAGACTGCCAAACCTGTATATGTAGGTTATTTATCAGTTAAAATTCATATATCATTTTTATAACAAAAGAACGGGGTTTAAACTTTGATCGTAACCTTAGGTGTTACAAATCCACTTTGTGCCTCTAATATATGGTAAATCYCAAAAGTAGTCGAAATAGAAATATACTACCTTTTAAGTACGAAAGTGTCGAATATGAGAAGCTCAGAACTGTGGCTGGCTTTATAGAAAAAAATAAGCAATTTCCGATATATCTTAATGAAATCAGTTCAATACATCCATAGCAGCTGTATAGCAACCTTTCAAAGCTGAAATTGATTCGCTGAACTACAAGGTTTGTCCTGAAAGTAATAGGACTAAGTCGATTTAAAAGAATGTATTGAACCAGTCGTTACAATTCTTTGAAAACTTTCAGGTGGACAAAAAAGACAACAAGCATTGTTTTCAATTTGGATTTGCTCATTCCTCAGCGACCTCTTCCCGGCCGTCTAAAAGGCTTGGTGACACCGAAACACACCACTTCTTGCTAAAGCAACATTTGCAACCCACAGAACACGTTGCGCGGAAATGTTTATCCTGACTCTCAAGGTGCTCGGAGATCACCGCTCGTTCGTTAGCTAGGAACRCGCTCTTCCGAATCCAGTCGGTGCGCGCACGCTCCGAAGTACACTCGCGACGGAATAAAATCAATCCTCTTACTTTCCRGACAAATTGTGTACGTCAATATCGCCGTATATCTCGTACTGATGAGCTGTACGACCATAAATCAGACCATAAATGAAACCATAAATCTTCAGCAAAACCTTTCCCTTACATTCGTATCGCCGACTCACCAGGTGTTGTCATCGTCCATGCCTCAGCACCATATAGTCTTTGCTCGTCGCGAGAGGACTTTATTTTTCAATTGCCTACGCAGTCCAAAGTAGCACCACTTGGCAAGAAGCGATTCTGCATTGGATTTCAAGACTAATATTGTTGTTGTTATTAATGCTGGTTCCAAGATAAAAGAAATTATCTACGACTTCAAAGCTATGTGYTTCAACACTGATATGTGAGCCAAGTCGCGAATGCGACAACAAGTGTAAAATCGGTCCAGACTTCAGCCTTGAAGAACTCTTTGTCGTATTACTAAGTTACTTAAGATCTTGTTCTCGAAAAATTCTATATCATACTTAAGACTTAAGTGTCGCTCTGCATTTTGCCAAATCGCTTAAAAGAAAAGACTGTTCCTTAAAACAATTCTTTTAATATCAACTAATTCGAGATGCATATAGTTTATGCTTGAAATGCAATTTCTCAACTCTGAATTGTCTGTTACTTATACATAAGTGAGTCCATAAATAGACGGCGCCAATTTGAGATGAAATAGTAATGTGAAAACACACTTCACATGCGTCGTAAGGAAAATCCATTAAAGACAAACTCATTATAAGGGGGATACAAAGAAATGCCCACACTGTCTTAATGAGCGAGCACTCACTCAGCAGCACTCCGCTGGAAATTGTGTCTCGAATGCAGCTCATTAATCTGCATGTCAGTGGCACCAAAAATAGACGCGCTATTTGCGTTGTGCAGCGTCTTATCGCCTAACTTCTAAGTACCAAGAGCTTGCAAGAGTCCCAAGTATAAATAGAAGCCTAAGCATTGATACAATCGCATGAATTCATGAGGAGTTCGTGCACAAGCCGAACTGCGGCATATTTGTAGCGGAACTTCATGCTATTGCAGCAGCCACACACAATCACCGCCAGAAAAAAAATACAAAAAAAAAAAATACTTATTTATTTATTTTTGGAATTGAAGTAATGTGCATTTCTAACTAAATTACGCAATGCCATCTGAATTGCCGTCGAACGTTGATCGACATGCGAYATGYCCACCAATAGACGCAGCAGCGATGCGGCGCAATAAAGCATACCATCAATGCTTTGACCCTGAGCACTTTGTTGCACTTCCTGGATGATTTATATGGCAGCGATATTTTGTCTATGCTTTCTTCTAGCCCGCTTGTGCGTTGAGCGYATGGAGATTAAGGGCACCGCCAGCGAAGATTTGACGGAGTGCCATCTTCTCGTCATTTGCATTCGAATTGTGGGTGCCATTAAATGTAAACAAAAGCAGCGCGCAATGTTATAGAGGTAGGGCATACACACCCATGCTGCATTCTATGTAAATATTTACTCAGCATTGCCCGCTGGGGCCAAACGAGTCATAGAGCGTACATTGTGTGGCCAAGCCGTGCACGACTTTTTTATTTATGCTTCACTTGTAAGCGTCAAAGACACCATAAATCTGGMATCATCTATGATATCCTAAATTTATGGTTCGCTGAATTGTTTCAGTTGCCTGGCGCTTCAGAGTGGAAGTTTCTGGGAAATGTGTATGCAAATGGACTTGCCACTCAMCGCCCAACTAATTAATCAAAGCGGAAGTTTTTTGACATTTTCTTAGAAATTCCGCGAGATCTGTTCATATGTACATATGTGTTTGGTGCGGGTCTAACATTAGGGCAGCTCCAAAAATCACCGAAAATTTTATTTCCAGTATTTATTTTATAAAAAAATTGATTGACCATTCAGTATAAAACGAAACATTCAATTTCCTTGCTAAAATAAGAATATCGTCCACTATTTTATTGCCCTCGAAATTAGTGGCCTGGTAACCAGTAAAAGTGAAATTTCTTACTTCTGGCAACAGTTTCCAATGCTTCTCAAGAYGCATCTGGCCGACATGCGATACGAAATTACTGCTTTGACTRCTTCTTGGTTGTCTACGTAGATGTTGACTCTGGAATTGCCTGCARGTGCTTTRKARGCCAGCTCCGTGGCTTTCCCAATAGCAAAGGCCTCAGCTTGAAATATTCTGCAGTGGTTCGGCAACTAAAAGGTTGCCTTATGTCTAACTCTGGACGGTGTAATCTCGCACCAACTCCATCGTTCATTTTCGARCCATCAGTATAGACGCTTTTTACGTCAGGCATCGTTTTCCATGTTTAAGAGTTGAAAAGTGAAGTAATGTAGTCGGTGTTTGCCTAACTGCCATTACCAACCGAGCTTTGCCCGAACGTTCTATATGTAAATTCTCCTGCAGCCAGWAGTCGTCCCGGCGATTTTTCCGCGAAGTTTTCAGCGAAGAGTTATATACTATAGGTGGCAGGTTTAATAGGAGTTCGAGAGCCGCCGTTGGAGTTTTTCTTAAAGCTCTCGATGGCGAGCCTCTGAAGCATTTCCACTGGCTTCCGATAGGTGAATTTCCGTGCGTCTGTCCACCATACTACTGCACCATAGAGCAGAATTGGTGGCCTTTCTTCTTTCTTACACGTTGTGATTCCTTCTCGAGAGGTAGATGTGTCCCATTTATAGAAGAAATTTTGTGTTTTCTTGTGAACACCAGCAAATTCCTTTTCTCCGGGTTCTACCCCAAATCCGCTTGCGATGTCCATTTTTGGACTGTATTGAGAATGGTGATCACGATACAGCTAATGGTCTGTGGACAYCTTTTTGGAAATTCGTCCGCATATACCATTATATTGGGGGCTTTGCCTTCCAAGTTCCCTAGCAGTTTATTCATCACTAATGTTCATAGAAGTAGATAAAACCACCTGGGGGGTACCTTTAACGACTGATCGTATTCCGCGAACTGAGGGAGAAGATAGGCAGGAACCCTTAGTTACATTTAGAGCAAAGAAGGAGTGCKCGATATTTAGGCCTGTGTTCTCGCAGAATCAGTTCGAAAAGTGGTATCGAGACGGGCAGAACTCACTGTGCTTTAATAAAATAAAAGTGTAAAGTGTTTATTATGAATTCGTCTGCGAACAAATTCCAGACAAATACATGTTTTGTCGAAGATCACACGAAACGACGCAGCAACTTCAGCTTGCGCTTRAAAGCGTCAAACACAGTTGTGAAGTCGTTCAGGACTGCGCTTATTGTCCGAAGTTAGAAAAAGTGGCACACACCGGCGCTATGGGCTCATGCCCAATATTTCAAGCTCAATAAGACGCTTAACGGTTTTATTTCAGATGTCTCTTATGTCAGCAGTCTAGYGCACGTTTGATCGGTGGTCTGTCAAAGCGATCGGTCCGGCGTACACGGTTATCACTGATCAAAATTCGACGTCCAAGAATTGAGTCCCCGATACCGGTGGCTTTTTTCATAGGAATCGTTTAAAAACTTGTAAGATGCTCCATTTGTCGTACTATCATGAGACATCTACATAATTCTAAAGGTTCAAAATACTTCAACTTTTAATGATGGCGTACAGTCGCGTGATCTAACCACATAAAACTGGATGAGCCTAAGCGATTTAGACTACGAATATTTCATTTACATCCATAACACTTCATCCAAAAATGCTTCATTTAACTTTCTGGCCATTTAATTTTAAGGCCCTGCATTTAGGTTATGCTTATTTAACAACCRCCAATTACAGACGAGATGACATACGCGGAACCATGCAGTCACTAGTTTATTCCTATAATCAATTAGACAATAAATTGGAGCGTCACGAGCATCGCGAAAGAGCGCTTGGCGAGTTAATTAAACGAGCTCTGCAGACGCTACAAAAAGGACAAAAGAGTCTTGAACCACTAAACGGTATATTCGCACGTTTAGATGAGCGCGTCAGTCAAATTGAAACGCTCTTGATAACGGTAAAAAAAACACTAAACTCTACTAACTATATTATTTGCATGATAAAATATTTACTATATGGCATGTAGCAAGAGGAAAAATACAACGTGCAGACCGAGAAACTCGGCGAGGCGCTCGAACACATATTCAAATGGATGCGTGAGAATGACGAGTGCTACAAGCGACCACCGGTGCCCGCAATGATGCCAGCACCAGCGCCAATTGTCCAGGCTCCAGCCGTATCACCCGAATTCATAAAGGAACAGGAGAAAATCAATCAAMAGATRCTCGAGCAAATCGCGAAATTGTCTACGAATGTGGAAAAACTATTGGACACCTCAAARGATATGATGGAACAGACCGAAGTGGCATTCAAGAGTGTGCCGTCCACAGCAGAAATGTTAACTAAAATTGAAGAYAAATTGGTTAGTTATAGTGTCGTAACGCCAGCACCCGTGCCCGAGCCGGTGGACAACTCGGAGTTCGAGAACAAAGTRTTTGTGAAATTCGATGAACTGGCGACAGGTATAGAAGAGTTGCGTGCGCAACCTAAGCCACAAGACGGTCTCACAAATGCAGACAAAGAGTTTATACATGGATTGGCGAACGAAACACTCAGCGCTCTGGAGAATGTGAAGGCCAGTACGCAGAGCAGCGCAGAAAAAGGTAAGTCTCTTMTGTATATGTCTTTCATTCCCTTTTATTGCTGCCTCTAACTATATTGATTTTTATTTCATTTCGTAGCTCAAGCGGAAACTGCATCACTCATTAAAGAAACCGAACAGAACCTACAGACTGATGCTGGCAAAATTTTGGTCGGCGTCAATACGCAGGCTGAATTACTACAGAAATTCTACGACGAAATGAAYACCAGCTACAGTCAGTTAAATGAGGGACTTGAAATTTTCAGCAAATTCAATAATATTCTCATGGCAAACTCGGAGTATGTCTTGGACACACAACGTAAAGTCGAATTCGGCACTTTGCAGACAGTACAAAAGATCAACGATATAATTGACAAGCAACGTGAGGAGATTGTCGATTTGCTGAAGACACGTTTCGACGCCGTCGACGAGAATGTCATCAACACTCAGCTGGAGACAATGCAAAATCTTAGCTCCACAATTGAAACGGAAATCAGTCACGTTTGGCGGCAAATTTCCATTATGAATGGCGAGATTAGCGAAAATAGAGATTTACTGACCCTAATGCAAGGACGTAATGAGGTCTTTGTCAATAGCACATTCCTCAGCATGGCTACTATGGGCAATAAGGTGGAGGATATCAAGGACCGCATGYTGGATATGGATACAAATTTGAATTATCTGTTGGGCAAATTGTCGGTGATGTCACAGGAATTCGGTGCCATCAAACAGGGRCTCGCCGATTCGTTAGAGCAGCTGCGMAATACCTTCCATGTGATGCAAGAGAAACTGCCTCCTTCGGGTCCCGGACCGCATAATATTGCCAAAAATGAATACGAAACAGAATTGAATTTACTGAATAAACGTCATGCYGCTGTCACAACGCAATGAATGGATTGAAACCTTTTAATTATTTATGCAACATAATTATTTCAAGCTCACTTAGTTGATAAAAGAAAAGTTAAATAAGCGATATATCTTGTATAAATTAATCTATTCATCCACATCACCCGTCATTAATTCATTGAAGAACAAAAAWTTACTGTTAACAAGCAATCCTAAGAATACAAATTTTGACTATAATCCGTTATTTATAAGWTATAACCCTTAGTTCTGACTTTCTTTATTGAATGTATTACATAATAAAATATTAAAAACGATTTGACGTCATTTATGTGGTAGCAAATTGATCCCAAACCCAGCGAACAACACTGGGGAGGGATGTTTTGGCTACCAAGAGGATACTTGCTCTAAGACTGGAAATCGTGAGCTGGTTGTTTTACTCCTTTCTACTGACGCCGTCTATTTATRGACTTATGTGTATGTAAAAGACAATTCAGAGTCGAGAATTCAGATTTTAAGCATATATGCATCTCGAATGAGTGGATATTACAAGAATTTTTCTAAGGAAGAGTTCTTTTTAGCGATCTCTTTTTAGAGCGATTCGGCGAAAGGCAAAGAGACACTCAGTTCAAAGTATGACATAGAATTCTTCCGAGACCAAGGCCTTAAGGGGTTAAGGGTAGTCAGAGGCACGAAAAAATGACAATTTTCAGTATTTTTATTTTACAAAAGTAGTAATATGGTATTACTATAAAATGTTTTGACTTGAAGAAACGAAAATTTCAAAAGAAAAAAAAATTAATTTCCAAAGTTATAGTTGTTTGTGTTGACCCAGTTCCAAAAACRGGTACTTGTGGTGACAACCATAATTCCACGGAGATTCATTTAAAATCAACCGGACAAAAAAAAATTAGTTTTATAAATAGATAATCCTGGTCTTAATCGAAGGATTTTTTATTTTTTCAAAAATTAGCACAATGACGGCCTGAGGAAAATATTTTCTAAATTTTTGGGAAAAAATCAATTGGTTCATTGTCACGTGACCAGTCAGGTCACCAGTTCAAAAAACGTAGTTTTGAGAAAAATGCGTTTGAAATTTCACACTAGCGTTTTGAAGTGCCCCAGCTCTCTTTGTTATTTGTCGAATAACTCAAAAACTAATTATCGGATCAACGTGAAATTTTCAGAGAATATTTTTAAGATATTACACTTAAAGAAAATGCAAAAAAAAAATTTTTTTTTTTAATTCTGTTGTCGCATATGCGATTTGGCTCACATATTAGTTTTGAAACTCACTTTATGTGAGCAACTTTGAAGTTGTAGATAATTTTGTCTATCTTGGAATGAACATTTATAACTATAACAATATCAGCATTGAAATCCAACACAGAATCACTTCTTGCCAACAGGTGTCGCTTTGGACTAAGTAGGCAATTGAGATGTAAAGTCCTCTCTCGACGAACAAAGACCAAACTCTAGAAGTCACCCATCATCTCGTCCTGCTATATGSTGCAGAGGCATGTACTACTGACAACRTTTAATGAGTCGAMGTTGCGAGTTTTCGAGAGAAAAGTTCTACAGAAGATTTATGGTCCTTTGCGCATAGGCAACGGCGAATACCACGAGATATACGATGACATTGACATAATTTGGCAAATTAAGAGAGAGAGCGATTACGCTGTCTAGGTCATGTTGTCCGTATGGATGAAAACACTCYAGCTCTGAGAGTATTCGATGAAGTACCCGCCGGGGGAAGCAGAAGTAGAGGAAGACCTCTATTCTATTGGGGAGACCAGAGGGAGTCATTTAATTTAATGCCAGAGGGAGTCATTTAGTAATTGCACTGACTGCTGTCTGCACTCGTCAAGGAGGCAYTGAGGTTGAAATGTCCACAAAATGTCGGTCAGTTGAGATCTGAGTGGTAAAAARCAAATAAAGCATTAGCACTTACACGCTTCCCAGGGGAACACCCGCTTCTAACGGTCGAAAGTTTGAGTATGAGAGATTTCCGTTAAAATTCCTGTGAGTATTTTAGTTCACAAAACTACGTGACTATTGTGAACGTGCTATTTTTCATTGTTTAAGGTTAATAAGTTGCAACTTTCGTGTAGTTTCCATGAAAATTCTTTTTTTGCAGTTTCGGGTAGTTGGTTAAACGTTTCGTTGCTGTCGGCAAGGCAGTTCATTTTAATCTTTTGCTTTGCTATGCATTTTGTGGGATAGCAGGGAATCAACTATGTTGCTGCTCCTCTACGGCCAAACTTTTCAAGCTATAATACCTGCAATAAATTTTGTCGTTCGATAAGGGAAGGTGTTGCTACTAGYCCAAATTTGTTTTTGTTTTGTTGGTACACTCTTCATATGAACATATATGAGGTTTCATTTCAATCTGTGAATTCATTCTTTGTTTACAGGCCATTTAGTATCGCCGGGTCACAGTATTTTTTTACAATGGAAAAAATTTAATATCGAGCATTGATAAAATTCTTATTTTTGAAATGTGTAGCACMAAAAGAAATTCATGAACGAATGTTAAAAGTGTAGAATGATTGTTCCCATACAATTRGAACTGTAGAAAGATGGGTTGCTSAAAGGTTGTAYAAGCCTTGAAGACGATATACGTGAAGGACGTTCAAAAAGAGCATCAACACCAGAAATCATAGCCAAAATACAGGATATGGTTTTGGAAAATWGTCGATTGACTAAGAGAGATTTAGTTGAGGCGCTACAKATCTCATTAGGCAGTGTGAGTCATATTTTAAGTGAAATTTTGAGTTTTAGAAAGCTGTGTGCACCATGGGTGCCGCATTCGCTAACAAAGGAACAAAAACACATTCGAATGTGACTTTCTCAGCATCACTTGGAGTTTTTTAAAAATGATAATGTGGATTTTGTGCATCAACTCTTCACTATGGATGAGACTTKAGTCTATCTTCATGCTCCTAAAACAAAACAAGAGTCTAAAGGGTGGTGTAGACCTAATTATTCGGTTTCGAAACGAGTTCGTGTCCGGAAATCGGATGCGAGAGGAATTTTGTTTGTAGATTACTTGCCAACTGGTAAAACAATTAATTCCGAATACTATTGCAACCTTTTAGTTCAGCTGTAGGAAAAAAATCGTGAAAAAGACCCGGTTTGCAGAAGAAGAGACCTTTTTTCTTCAGGACAATGCACTGTGTCACAAGCGCATTTTGACAATGCCTAAAATCCATGCATAAAAGTTCGAATTGTTGGAGCATCCACCGCATTCATCAGATTTTGCCCCCAGCTACTTCCATTTATTTACAGAACTCAAAAAATTAATGCGTGGCAAGCGTTTTTCATTAAATGAAGAGGTCATAACGCCAGTTGAAACCTATTTTGCAGACCTTCCGGACTCTCGGAGGATCGTTGGAGCAAGTGTATTAATGTTCAAGGAGATTATACTGAATAACAAAGTATATTTTGAATCATAAAATTATGGTTTTCTTATCAGACGACAAAACTTGTTGAATTACCTGGTATTTATTAACATAAAAGAGTATAGAAATCTTTTTTCTGATTTTGATTGGACAATTTTTACGCCAGTTATATGCTATAGTGATCCGATTGCWGATTGTCGCGTTGGCTTAGTTAAATAGTCCATGCAAAATGTTGAGAAGATATCTCAACAAATAAAAATACTTTCCTTGCAAGGATTGGTAATGATCGATCAGCTGGTAAGGTCGCTGATGGTGTTATGGACGCCTTAAATATGAATATTTGTGTTTATTATTGTTGCGCGCAGTGTTTTTTCATAAAATTATTTCAGCAACTTGTTGACTGTCGACTTAAAAATTATTCTCTGGTAAGGCGTTTGAGTTAGCTACATCCTATTCTGTAAATAGTGATTAGTAAATATTATACTATAGATTACTGATTTTTGTAATAAGATAAGCATTGAATTACAGCGAAATGTTTTGATTGAAAGCGCAACACGGTGATAAGTACACACACATATGTACACTTACCGAAGTTTCAGCGCACTCTAAGCAAGAGAAGTGATATAGATTTAAAAAGGCCGCTTAAATTCAATGCACCTATAACTACTGCGGAATAAACATCCATTTAATACAATACAGCAAAAAAGTTAGTGAGCTGRCTTTAGGCAAATAAAGTGTTTTCGGGTTCACAATTATAATATACCTTTTTTGGTCACTTTTCCGAMGGATGTACTTACACAATTTTCACAATTGTGATGTGAATAGTAATATATAGGCTTATATTCATAAAATTTTCATAATTTTTTTTATTTATTTACAGCAACAATGTATCAAGTGATCCGTTTTCTATTTTTCTGTTTGCTGGGCTTGGGATTTTTGAAACTATCGCCGGCTCAAGTAACGTATGTATAACTCGGTTTATTTATATAGTATGTGTATATACATATAATATTATATATTCTGAAAATTTCAGACAAGAATATACAGGCGAAAGCGTACGTTCACTAAATTCACTAAGTTATGCCCTCAATCTATTAGACAATAAATTGGAGCGTCATGAACATCGCGAAAGAGCGCTTGGTGAAGTAATTAAGAAAGCTCTAACGTCTCTACAAAGAGGACAACTTAACCTCGAACGTCTATATGGTTCACAAACACATTTCGATCAGCGTTTTAGCGATACTGACTTTCACTTAAAAGCGGTAAGTAAGCGTAAGCTCAATATTTATATGATTTATAGACCAAAATAGATATTTTTCAAAGTAAAAACAAAAAAAATCATATTATGATCAAACTAATTGCAAAAGAAAAATAAAACCACAAAAAAGGAAGAAAAAATAATGTATGTGCTTTTGATGTCGTCAAGAGGAAGGGAAGTGGCGTGATTGATTTTTTAAGTTTTAAAAACGTTTTACCACTAACAAAAACCAAGGGTCGTATAGAAAAACGATATATGGTAATGTGGTAGGTAATGAAAAGATCTATAATTTTTGTATATACACATTTGTCATATTACCCCAAATTTATGTGAAAATTTTAAATAAAAAAGTTGTTTGTGTTTTCWTTTAATCTTTTGCATTAATTATTTTTTG